GCTTGTTCTTCGGTTTCATCAAGAGACTGTGGTACAATGGCGAAGAAGATTAAGGATTTGGATATGATAATTGAGACAGGAGATATAGAGCAAGCCTTAGACGTCGAAGAAGCACTTCATTACTATTCTCGTCTTAGAAGTCCTGCGTATCTCAACATCGTTGACAAGTTCATCAATGATCTCTACGCCTGATCCAAAACTCTCAAGAGCTATTATAGTTTTTGTTTTTTCAGATTCTTGATTTGTTTGGTTTATTCTTGTATGTTTGAATCATGCTTGTGTACCAACACCATTTTACAGTTAAACATTTCCCAGCTCCCTTCTGACAAGACCTAGAACCTGTACAGAGATCCGATGCACACACTGTCTGAAGCTTTCGATACGTTGGTAAACTTTTAATTGGACCAAAGGATATAGAATATAGTATAGAATAGAAGGCAAGCTCATACAAAGGTAATATTATTACATAGGTATTTCATCTTCAGCAACAAATCCATTACAAGAATCTGATAGAATTCAAAGTGCGGCATCAAGAACAGAATGCATATCTTTTACGTATGAGAAACTCTGTAATCATCCATAACTCTTCTCTGTAAAGTTCTCAGTAGGCTGTAAATAGATAAACTTCTGATCTGTCCAAGCCAGTAGGGGGCACAAGTGCAAAACCCGAGGATGAGGTCGATAAAAGGAGGACCAGGCTGTATTTACTCGAGAAGGGGGTCAGTACCCAGTGGTAGATACCAATACATTGTGCTCCCTAAGGCGTTTCTGGAAATGAGCAAGACGGTTCTGTAGTTGGAGTATACCTGCAGCTTTCTGAGAGAGAATTGTGTTCAGTCTTGAAATGTAACCATCTAGCTGGTTTCCGGGTTGGTCGGCTTCAACCAGCAAATTCATCTCCTACATAAGTAATTCAAATGGCTTTTAGAGGCAACAATCGAACCGAAACAAAGCTAGCCAAAACTATTCAAACTCGTACCTCTTTCACAATGTTCATGGTATCCTCAACTTGTTTACGGTGTGCATTCACCAGGTCTTCTTCCTCCTAGCAAATTGCATGAGAAATGATTGTTGCGTCAAGACTGATAAAACATATGACTTTCTTTTCTGAAGGAGAATGCTTTAGCTGAATGTTACCTGCAGAAGTGCATTCAGATTGTCCTCAGAGTTTGACTTCTTCATATCAGGCCTTGGCATCTCTCTTGACTTCGTCGGGATAGTAGGTTTTGGGATTCTCTCTTGAGCCAGGCTGTTATAAGATGGCTCTGGCTTCCCGTTTTTCTTCCACATTTGTTTCTCTTGCTCGTAATCAGATGCATCAAAGTCATCGTTTTCTTCAGTCCACATCTCATTTACGTCATCATCATAGTTAGATGGAGTAGGAAGTGCGGAAGACAAAGGAACTTTTGTGGACTCCCTTAGGTTTACGGTTGAAGAAGATACATCTTTCTTAGAGCCGTTTCCCTTCGAGAGACTCTTGACTCTACAATTCTCATAGTTTATAGAAAAGTTTATGAGATGCACATTTGACAAAAAAAAAAAAAGAAAACGCGAGGGAGTAAAACCAACCTGTCCGCGTATCTTAAGGTGTTAAGGGTGTGCTCACATGATCCAGAACTTGGAGATATACACGATATCATTACAGTACGAGAATTCCCCATGAAAGAGTCTCTGAGAACTTCAGTCAACTTACTGCCTCTAAAAGGGATGTGACCTTGGTCATTATCCAGAGCTCTAATACACTCCTTTAACGCGAGTAAACTCTTATTGATCTCTGCTCCTTCCAATCTGTCATATGGTACAAATAAAGTATCTAAGCAATTAGTTGGAAACAATATCCAGACTGAACATTGTAAAGAGTCACTATTAAAAATTAATCAGGGACAGGAATAGAGATGATGTAAAGTGTTACCTTGTCTGCTTGTCATTGTCTGTTGTGTCTGCACCACGTTCACTTCCAGCAAGATCGATGAAAGAAAGTTTGCCAACGAGGCGAGGGGGCTTTGACTGATTACCCTCTGCTGATTTTTTTATAGCAAGCTGAAGTATAGCATGTGAGCGAGAGGATTCTTCATTTGCGCCAGTAGTCCCAGTACTTCTTGTTGCACTTCCTCTTTCAATAAGTTCCATAATTGCATCTGTATCAGATACTCTGTACTCTTGCAAACCAACAATGCACACTTGCTGCTTACCATCCTCTCTCATGCACAGCTTCCTAAAAAGGTAAAAAAGTTTGCCTTACAGTTACATAAATAGGCATTTCAGTCAAGATAAAAAAAGCATGATGAGATGCCTTTCAACTTACTTCCTCTCACTGAGGAGATCATAGAGCTTTCCTCCATAAATCTCAAAGAAGCTGACAAACAACTGAAAGCCTTGGTTTCTGTATGTGTGATGCATCAACCTCAGGATATCCCTTGAAGCTTTAAGAGGCAAAGGCTTCATAGTATATGTTTTACCACTACCTGAGAGGCAAACATAGACCAAAGATGATTCACATAGAGAATATGCAATTCTGGAAATTGGGTTAATGTATAGTTAAAGCAGAATTTTATTTGTTTCTGATATTGATTATCACCTATCGGTCTCATACAATTTTCTCAATTAGATTGAAGAGTGGACAGACATGTCAAATACTTTAGGTGTTAGGACCTAAGGTCTTGCTATTATTAGCTTGTCAGTTTTTTCTGGAAAATGACCTTGTGTATCTATCTATGATTCCATTGGAGACTATTTACCTGTCTGCCCATATGCAAAGCAAGTGGCTTTGATGCGCTGAAAAATAAGGGGGACAACAGGCTCCACTGTCTCACGATAAACCTACAGAAAGTGACATAATAACTTGAGAAATAAGCGCCACAACATGAACCGCTTATTTGTAGAATAAAGCTTCTCCAGAGTAAACTTTGATCCAGTGTACTTTGAAACATTACCTCATCATTTGATACCTCCTCATCTAGCACAGCATCAAACACAAATTCATGCTTTTCAACATAGGCTGTTAAGTCAACCTGCAATAATTTAGTTATACAGATCAGTCTTACTACAATGATGACTCAGACAATTGAGATCGCATGAAAACAAACCATCACAGACTGACCTTAAGTTTGGTTTCATGAACTGTTAAGGTATTGGAATGTGTGTCAACAATGTCTTCCTCGTTTTTTGCCGACTCCTTCTTGTTAAGCGGTCTCTTACGCACCTGTTCTCAAACAATTAGAAAAAAAATCATGTTGGGGAAAGGATTCGTATTCACAATGCACAAGGCAAGGAAATCACTTGATTCAAGGTGGAAATCAAGTGATTCATTATAGGGACTGAAGTAATGGAAGAAAACGTACAACAACTTTGATCTTTGCAACAGCATTCATCCTCTCCTTCTCAGCAGCTAAGTTGTCAGCCAAGACGCGACTACGGTTAGGCTGCTTGTTGTAAGCTTCAAAGTCATCAAAGCTTTTGCTTTGACTAGGGTTGAAAATTGAAGGGCCATCTAATTGGCTAGAGACTGGAATCTGCTGTAAGATCAAAAATTATATGAGCATAACATCTAACGCAGTGAAATTCATCTTATGTTAAACAGAGAATCAAACAACCAGATGGTGTCACAATGATTCTATTATAGGTTCTGTCTCAATGGATACCAAAACGGTTAAGAGGAAAAAATAAACCATCATATGAACACAGAAAAATCAAAAGTTCTTTTACTAAAAATAGTCTGATGACTTTAAAGTGCTGTGCAATGAGTCCACTCTTCCGGCAAGCAATCAATTTTATAGATGCCCACCTAAATGCACCAACATTTACACCAAAAGGCAACTCTGCTCTGATGCCCCCAATGTGTAAATGGCAATTAAAAAAGGATTACACTAACCAATACCTACCTCAGGAAGAAGCTCAGTATCAAAAGAATGCAGATCTAAGAGACCAGGACTAAACTCAGAATCATCAGTGTTCTTTCTTTGGCTCGATGGACGAGAACCGTATTGAGGAGTAGTGGGTTCACCAAAGAACTCGTTCCCTCCATTAAACCCTCTCTGAGCATTCTGGTATCCTCTTGTTGCTTGTCCACCACCAGCATAGTATCCATAATCCTGTTCGTAGTAGCCTCACCATTAGGTTAACAAAATCGAATACACTAAACATACACAACTCTCCGGGCAATCAAAACACCAGATCGGGGAAATAAAGACCCAGAAATCTCATGAACTAAACAGATCTTCTTAAGAAAAACAACAGAAATTCAATTTTTGTTTGTACTCGCAGTTTCTATCGCGATGAAATTGTAAGGAGGAGGAGAAGAAAAGGATGAGATTGGGGGGGGGGGGATTATATACATTGGTGGGTGGTTGGAAATGCTGGAGACCATTGGATTGGAGCCATCTGCCATTAGAGGAAGACATGTCGAGAAGGTTATCGGAGAGCTGTCTCTGGTGGTGCACCGCCGCTGCGCCAGATCTCTGTCTTCCGTTCATCTCCTTTACCTGAATGGGTCTAATCTGAGTTTCCTCTTAGCTCGAATCGGAGCTCCGAACGGATCCTTTAATCGGATCTCTAACCACAGTTTG